TTAAACTTTGTTTTATTTATTTATTATTCTTTTTAGTATATCTTTGAGAGCTCACTTTCCTTAACTGTGTGGCATGCTTGAGGACTCAATGTGGTGTTCTGAAAGGGAGGTCGCAAGTCTCTCAGCCCAACAGCCCCGGGAGGAAATGGTCAAGTGGTCGAGTCTGTGAGATCGGGCTCTGCAGGTGGCCTTGAGACTCTTGGAGTCAACATTCTTGTTTTGATTTTTATTGCCACAACGCACACACACTTACAGAAGAGAACAGCAGGGAGAAAGCACACCCCCACCCCGCCATGAGGTATGGTCATGCCAGTCCGCTCCCCTCCATTTCTCCATCCTGTAGGAATGTGGGCCATGCACGCACACGTGTGCAGCCCGTTTTTCAAGCTGGAGAAGCTGGGATTTGAACTGTGGTCAGCTGAACGGGACTGGTCCCCTTAACCACCAGGCTATGGGACCAGCCCTAAAGATGATATTCTTTGAGAATTTTCCTGTCATGGTGGAAATGTATATATATATGTGTGTGTGTGTGTGTGTGTGTATATATATATATATATATATATAGAGAGAGAGAGAGAGAGAGGTGTTCAGTGAAACACTGTTTTAATAGTAAAATACTTGAAGCAACCTATATTTCTACCAAAAATAGACTAGAAAATTTTGATGCACCAAACCAAATGAACACAATGAAATGATAGGCAGTTGTAACAATGGAAGAGGAAGTTCTTTATGCACTGACGTGGATCTATTGCCAAGATGTACAGGAAAAACAGCAAGGACCAGAACAATGCCAGTGTATCACTCGCGCAAAAGGGAAAAGAGCACGCAAGTGTACTTGCTTTATGTGGGCAGAGAAGAACTAGGGAAGGGTACACAAGAATATAGTATTTGCTACCTCTTGGGAGAGAAGTGGTCACTGGAGACGAGGGTGAGAGGCTTGGATTTCCTTCTTTTTTTATTTTTAACTTTATTTTCTAAATTTATTTATTCCAATTTGACCAGAAAAGGATAAAGAGAGAAAGTGAGAAAGCAAGCCACTAGGTCTGGGACCCGAACTGCAGTTGGCCATGTGGGAGTCCAGCGCCCTCAACGACCATGCCACCTGCTGGCCCCTTACTCTGTCTTTTTGTACCTTTTGATTTCAAGTCTTATGAACATGTATAGTTTCTCCACACTATGCATTTCCATGAACTTTTGGAAGACCCCCCCCACCTACTATGTAAAATGCATTATAGGTATTCTTTTTTTTTTTTTTAATATTTATCTATCATTATTATTACTTTTGTTTGCTAAAGGGCACATGTATTCACCCGAGACAAAGAGAGAAAGAGAGAGGTTGAGAGAGAGGAAGGGAAAGCGAGAAAAGCCATCAGATCTGAGACTCAAACAGCAGTCAGCCATGTGGGAGTCTAGAACCCCAACTACCATGCCACCTGCTGGCTCCTATCTATACTTTTTTTTCTTTAAAAAAAAATATTTATTATTATCATTTTTAAATTTGACCAGAGAGAGACACAGAAAGAGAGAGAGAGAAAGTGAGAAAGCAAGCTGCCACGCCCAGGACTTGAATGATGGTCAGTTACAGGGGAGTCCAGTGCCTTAACACTACGCACCTGCCAGCCCTTATATGTACTCTTTTAAAAATAAATTGTATGGGGAACCAGCAGTTAGCATAATGGCTATGTCGCTGGACTCCCACGTAGTCGACCGTGGTTCGTGTCTCGGACCAGGTGGCTTAAAACTCATGCCGGGCGCATGTGCGTGCATGCCCAAGATCCCAAGAGGAGAATGGAGGAGAAGGGATTGCGGCGTGACCATCCCCCCTGGGGGGTGATTTCTCGCTTTCTGTTTCTATCTCTCTCTCTGTCTGTCTGGTGAGCACACGCGCCCTACAGTGAAAATCTCTCAAAAAAAATAAAAATAAAAATAAAAAATAAATAAATTAATAAATTAATTAATTAATTAAAAAAAATAAATTGTATGTGTGGGACCAGCAGGTAGCACGGTGGTTAAGGTGCTGGACACTCCCACATGGCCAACC